TTTTTTTTTTTTTTTGTTGCTCGCTATCGTCGCGCGTTTTTGATTTATGAGAGACAGTTTGACGCGTCAAGGACGGCGGTAAAAATAAAATACTGCGCGAAGAGTCAGAAGGGGACGGAAGGAGGGAGAAAACGAAATCGTCGATCGGTCGGAGGACGTATTTGACCGTGCTGTTAATTGTCGATTGATCAATATAAATAGTTTTTCTTCGAGTTTTTTAAGAAATTAATTATGTATTCTTAATAAATAAATAAATAAATGAATAAAGGATTCACGCGCTGAAACAGTTTTTTCTTTTGCGAATCGAGGATCGAATATGAATATGAAATTTTAATTATAGTTTTTGATTCCGGGCGATCGTCGGTCTAAAATTCGCAATTTGGAATACGATTTTTTGGAATTTTTTTCACGAAATTTCAGTTTATCAGTTAGGAATGGAATAACTTTCCAAGAATTATGAAATGCAATCTGTTTTTAATTTTCAACGATTCTAGGTGATCGATGCAAAGGTGCAGTTTGGTCAATAATTTTCTCATAAACATATTCATAATTTTTAACGTTTTCAAAATTGCAGTTTGTCGATTAGTCAAAGAGCACGAATATGATGTTTATTCGCAAAATTTTATCAATTGTGAAGAAGCTTTCCAAGATTTATAAAGTACAATCTAATTTTTAAAACACAAATGCAACTTTCCAAGATTCTCATTTTTAATCGTAATTTTTAAAGTTTGTCGATCAATCAAGCACGATTTTCCAACGAAATATTTCCCGCGAAATCCATCGATCGGTTCGTCCACTATTCTTACAAAATCTATTTTTAATCGACGATTTTCAATCGATTCCAGCCGATCGTCCATTGCTCGAGCACGCACTCGGTTTTCTAATCAACAGTCGACCCGGCTGTTTCATCGACGAGATGAAACTTAACGGTACCGGTTTCGCGGGCAACGTAAATCGAGCGGCGTTTAATCGTCCGATCGAGCGGACCGTTGGTCCATTTATTCATCCAGTATCGCGATGCTGCTCGCCGATAAAGCTTGACCGGGATATTGGGTCGGTGGAGCACTCGATCCCGTTTCCATCCCAAGTACCCGACTTAAGCTTAAATTACTTCGTTCCAACTAGTTTAACTGGATTGGATAACGCTGCCTCGACGCTCGTCGCGACAAGCTTATGCTAATTTTTCATCGGTTCGATGTATCGCCCCGAGGCTCGATATTCCGCCCGATTACCGGCCTGTCTTGTAGACCGTCTTGCCTCGACCCGGATTTTACACCTCTTCGTCAACTCGACGACGAAATGGACAGACGAATTTTCCTAACGATTTTTGTTGAAACGTGAGCAGAAAGATCGGAAGAAGTAAGATATTGGGTCGATATTATAATATTTCGAAAACGCTCAGGAATAAAGGGACGCGTACAATTGGTCGGAACAATGGTGGCAAGATATAACGGGCGAGTCGTGCGGATGACGAGCTAAAATTGAAGCAGTTGAACAAAGGAACGGTAGAAATCGTAAATGACGTCTGTTCGCGCACAACGATGCCTTTAATCTCGTCTCGGAGGACGGCGCATCGGAGGGCAAATTACTAAACCGCAACAATCTCCGAGGAAAAGGTCAATATACCTTCTAATCTCGCCCCTCTCGACCACTCCACGTCCACGATTTGTTCGGGAGCAAATGCTGCCTCCTCACCTGTCCTCGCCACCGACGCGATAATTTCGAATATCCTTTGAAACGATAATCGTAAGACCTCGAGACGAGGCAACGGATAACGAAGGAAATAAAGAATCGAGGTGTAGCGTTGTACGAGAGTTTCCTCGACCCACTTTTAAACCCCGAATAATCCAGATTCTCGAGAAACCGCGATCCACGACGATCCTTCCCTTTCTCACAACCCATCGATCCCCCTGATTTCGAGACTGAATTTAAAATTAAAAGAGGCAAGAATGGAAAATCGTAAACCTCGAGCTCGAAGATCGAATAACCACGCGCAGTCACGGGAAGTCGCGCTCGACCTCGCGATTCGCGCGTTTCGCAAGATCGGAGAGTGGAACGGTGATACGGGAAGCGGGCGTTATCGCATTGCATAATTGTGCGTCGAATAATAATCAAGTCGAGGAGAGATCATCGTTGCGATTCGATTTTTTTTCCGCGGCCCCTTTCTCTCTAAGTGTCGTCTCACTTGCGTTCCTTATCACGTTCCGTGTTTACGCGAAGAAAAAAGAAAAGAGAAGAGAAGAGAAGAAATAGAAAAGGAGGATGATATCGGGCGATAGAAAAATTCACACGATTTCACGGTGGAGAGCATCCAGGCCAGGCCGGCGTCCTCACTCGTGCAATCATTTTTACAGTTATGCGCTTGCGGAATTTTGGGTGCAGGCCTCTGGCTCCGATTGGCTTACTCCGGATACACGACCTTGGTGCCGCACTACAGTTTCGCGTCAGCTGACTCGTTGCTGCTCGCCGCCGGATGCGTGACCTTCGTGATCGCCTTCTTCGGATGCTGCGGCGCGTGGTTTCAATCGAGATGCATGTTAATCACGGTTCGTATCCCGTGTGTCTTTCGTTCGTCTTCATCGACCCTTCAACCTGTCCTTCTTCCCTACAGTACTTCGGTTTGGTGATACTGATGTTCCTGGGCGAGTTCATGCTGGGCACCCTGGCCTTCATCTTCAGGGAACATCTAGCCAAGAGTTTGAAGGACGAGCTGCTGTTCGGCATCGAGAAGCATTACAACCTGACCAGGGAACCTGGAACTCTTCCCGCTATATGGGATCACATACACACGGAGGTAGATACTCTCCTTGAGAGAGAAATTCATAATTTGGAAAAAGTCGTATTATCTTTTTTTTTTTTTCACTAAGAAAAGCGTAAAAAATTTCAGTTCCACTGCTGCGGCGTGCGGGATTACACGGATTGGTTCCGAATCGACGCCTGGCCGACGGAGGACCGCGTGCCCGATTCCTGTTGCGTGCAGAGAGAACGGTATTGCGGTCGCCTCGACTCCGAGGGGCGTAACAAGGAGCTCTGGTACAAGGAAGGCTGCGCGACAGCTATTCAAATGTGGCTGGTGACCAGGCTGCACGTGGTCGGGACCGTTGGCCTCGTGGTAGCCTTCCTCCAGTTGTTCGGCCAAGTGGCCAGCATGATCCTCTTCTGCACCGTCAGGCACAAGAGGTCGTCCCACACGTACAAGAGTTACGATACCACCAACACCTAGAATTTCAGATGGATCTTAGACGAGACCAGCGTCTAAGATCCATCGAAACTTTATATATATATATATATACACGCACATGTATATCGCACGCCCGCAATGATCGCGATCTTCTTCGCCGCCGATACGAAGAGGATCTGGGATCGTTGCTTCTGTATGCCCCTTGGCCGATATCTCGAACCCCCTGTAAATTGTTTTCCTTCCCTTCTTGCGAAAATGTCCGCCCCTTTCTTCTTGTAGAATTAGTAGAAATCGAGTAGAAACACGAGCGAATTATCGTTAAACTCGTCCACGAGCTTAGACGGTGGAACGAGATGATTAATAAGCATGGCTTCTGAGAGACGCGAGACGAGCCATTATTTTAATGGGTCGTTAGACCCGATAAGCGATTCCGCCTTCATCCAGCTGAATAATTTGACGAGCTTTTAACAAAATAGGTCGGATGTAAGTAAGAATAATAACGACGTACTCGCTGAGTTTAGATTTTGATCGGTGGAACGAATCTTGTAGAAGTAGATAGTAAGTAGAGGAGAGAATTTTATATAGTAGGATGCGAACATTTATGTTACCTTGCATGCGAACCTGTTTTATTTACTAGAGATAAGGTAATCGCACACGGATCATACCAAAATTATTCGTTACGTACGACCAGGCGCTACGAATCGCTTTGTCAATATTGTTTTTTTTTCCTTTTCTTCTCTTTTCTTTTTCCGTTCCGTTTCAACGGTTTTGCCTGGTCGTGCGAGCGCGAGCACAATTTTTATTTTTATTCTCGTTATCGTTTTAAGATCGGATCGACCCCACCCGTGGAAACACTACACAATCCTCGTGGATTTTTCTCTCGTCTAGCTTTAAATCCTCGGGTGTGTCGATCGTGTACGTTTTTTTATCGCGTAATAAGTTGTCGATAAAGTAGCGACACTTGACCGCCTAGTGTACGTTTGAAGAAGTGCGTGGTTTCGAGCGCAGCCTGCCACGCTACGAGGTCGCGACGATCGAGCTGCATCGAGATCGTATCACGCGAGCCTCGTGTACGTGTAACGTTCAGATAATAAATAATATATTTATGAGACGATTCTTCGTGCATTTCTCGTATCCACTCTTTCGACAATTCTTAAGACAATTTGATAAAAAACAAAAAAATTTATTCAACGTATAAAATTATGAAAAACAAAACCACAAATTTTGGATAATTAGAATTTGATTATCCAAAATATTCTACGATATTTACGGTGCTCGTTATTCCAATCCGATCAGCCGTGCACCGATATAATTCAGCATCCCTGAGATTTCCGAGCTAGCCTTTTTTGCAGTTTTACGCGGGAACTGGAAACGATTTTCAGTTCGTTCAAAAAAAAGAAAAATTCACCTCAAATTATTCCATTATTCGATTATAGACTCACGTCAACGAGAGCATTGAGAAAATTGCTGAATTCTTGGTAACCAGTGACCAGAGCACGACCAATTCCGATAAACTTGTCTCCTGAATTTCCATATTTTTCTTCCTCCTTGATACCGTCGACCAATGGCGTAGGTTTCAAAAAAGAATCCAACACGTTGGCGATGGGTTTCGAGATTGGCCTCTCGAAAAAACTCTGCGCTGTCTCGTTCTCTAATCTCACGGTCTCACGAGCGCTTGAATGGGTGTTTGTCACTGGAGGATACTCGGTCGTTCCAAACTGTATCGGTTCGTAGTTCATGGACACCGACTTCTCCACTGTAACCACGTTGTTTTGCGACTCGCTCGCCACTGCCTGTTTCATAAACGTATTGGTGCATGTATGTATATATAGATATATATAATTTTACGTACAATTCACTCGGTGTTTCTTAATCGTGAATCTCGGTGAAGCAATATTCCACTATGCTAATATTCCACCGGATATCTAATGTAATAATATTTCGAGTTAATTACGCGCGATGTTCAACGTCGAGAATTTTTTTGCTTCGTCACACTGATTCGATATAATTACGTATAATTAGAGGGAAAAAAATAATAGCCTTGTGCTAAATAATAATAACGAGACTATCGAAAGATGATATTGCTTATTTGCTTTGCATTTCTTGTATCTTCTCTTTTTTCTTTTTTTTTTTTTTCATTCCAATGGAAATGAATTAGAGAAAAAAGATGAATGATCAGGAGAAATGACAGCTTTGTGCCACAATTCCAGTTACTTACTCCACATTTTCTTTTTTTATACATTTTTTTCCGTCAACGAAGGTTTATCAGAAATGCAAAAAGCGACATCGACTATGACGCTAATGTGACGGAATTCACAAATCTTTCTAAGCCGATTCTTACCGCGTCCACGATTCCTACAAAAACCGAAATTGACTCATTCATCCTCTCATCAAATCTGATAATATCAATCGAACATTTCGATCTTCCCCTTCACGTTCTTGTTATGTTCCAACGTGTCGCAAAAATGCATCGAGAGAATCGTTGATCATCGTAAGATAAATATAATGAATATCTATGTTAAAATAAATATATATACTCACTCGATTTTGTTCGAAATTGAACGGCGTGCCAGTATCTCTCGTTTTTACGTCACCGGTGCTCAACGTGTATCTAATCGGTTGCTCCGCCGGCAGGCAAACGGATAGATCAAAGGGACAGCAGAGTAGAATAATACAAAATTTCGAGATTTCTCGTTCCCAAAGAATTCTTCGCATCTTCGTGATTCTGGAAAGGAAAATGAACTCGTTCGATCGCGACTCGGCCTTTCTTAAATAAAAGTGACCGTGAAACCCGGAAGCGTGCTCGCGACACGTTCTCTTTCCTTTTTTTCTTTTTCCTGTGTTTCTTAATCGTTCTCACACGAAATCAAAACAACCGAGGGTTTCAGAAATTAAGAATCGGCGACCACGAATTCGTGTTTCTTGACACGCAGTCACAGGTAGACTGTGTAAGAAGTTCCATTCCATTCCGATACTAAAGTTGGTCTATGTTCTTACGAAACGCACTTTCTCTTTCGATTCATTCCGCAATGTCGGCGCGCGGATGTCGTCTTCGATATCGTTTCGCGCGCTTTTAAGGATCGTTTGATAGCGGTCGATCGATTAGAGGGGAAACTATTCGAAATTGAAGCTGCGTCCTGCGGGAGACGTGAAAGATGAAGAGAGAGAAAAAGAAGAGAAACTTTGCAATATAAATATATTTTTTGAAATACAATTTTTTAATAACAATTTGTTAAAGATTTATATATATATATGCATGTTGGTAGATTTATAGGATATATCAAAATTTCACTTGTATCCCTAAAAGAAGACTGAGTAATGCTTTAACGATGTGAAGAACCAAACTGAGTACAGCTACGACGAGAGAAACTGGAATCTGAAACATCATTTTATTTTTTTATTGGTCAAAATAGAGATAAGCACGACAACAATTAACACGAGAGGGTTATATCGAAGGAAATTTACCTGGAGAACATTCGATAGAAGTAATAATACGGAGCCAACTAAAGGTATATGTAATAAGCTATCGACCAAAGGTTGAAGCTGTTTCGTGAGTTGTGATAGATTTCCGCTTTGAAGGGCAGAAAATACTGCATCGAGCGGTATGTTTAAGATGGCCGTAACATCGGAAAGAAGTCCTGATAAATTTAATGAACCATCCGAGGAAATTAAAGATCCAAGATCCTTCACTATACCACCGAGGGATATCCCGAGTAGATCTAAATATTATTATTATATTATTATTATATTATTATACATTAAAATATTTCGATGAATATGAATATATTTGAATTATTTACTTTTACGGATAAAGTACAATTTTTAAAGTAATTCTAGGTAATTCTAAATCTAATTTCGAAGAGAAATGAAATTTTTATATAAAAACATAATTTTGCTCCGTATCGATCGTCGGATTCAACGATCTGTTTTGTAAGGAAATTTAATAAACTTACTGCCTACATTCTCCAAAATACATGAGAGAAGAGAAATTATGGGATTGGAATTCCCCTTTCCTGTAATAATTAAATCAATTAATTTTAATAATTAATCCTCTCGCTCTATCTCTCTGTCTTATCTTATTTTAATATATTTATCAATTTTTTATCTTTTGAAAAGTTACCTTTCGGCGCAACAGTAGACGATCCACTTCCATTATCTGAAGACGTACTTGAAACCTGCAAACCTTTAATTTTAATTTTATTAATCTATAAATTATATCGATACATCTTCTATCGATCAAAGAATATAATACATTTTAAAAAATTTATATTAATATGTTTTAAAAAATTTTTTACCAAATGAACAAATATTTTCTATAAGATTTCTCACCTGATGAGGCACTAATCTGAAAAATTATTAAAATCAACATTAGTATTTTTTTTTTTTTGATGGAGTGTCGAGAAACATTTAAAAAAGTAATATCAAAGAATTAAAATCAATTTTGCAATCTTACTTGTGCTTTTGCCAACATTGCAATCGATGCAATAAACAGCAAAAATCCAATCACTTTTATCGCGTTCATGTTGGCTCTTCTTCTTTTATTATTTTCTTCGACAAAAAGAAAAATAAAAACGCTTCGTTCCTCGTCTTCTTATTTTGGTCGCCTTTGTCGTTGCCTTTTATTTATATAGTTGAACCGCATGATGTCAAACTATTTTACCATTGATAGCGAATAACTCGTAATAAGTGTAATGAGCATTAGCATCGATATCCAAAACTTTGTCCTTGGCTTTCGTTAAACGTTAAGCTATTATTATTCCCCCAGTTTTGTCAAGCTTGCAATTTAATTTATCGCAATTTATCGGTTTTTTTTTTTTTACATGACGTAAATTTGTGCAATAGGATACATTGAATATATAATGTAACATTGAATCAGATAATTTATTTAATCAGATGTACATATATTTATTACGTACAATGTAAGAAATAATAACAATCGACCAGTCTTTTTATTAGTAATATAAAATTTAGAATGAAAAATAACTTCAAATTAACTTATGATAAATTTTAAATGCTAATAAAAATCGCAAGACTAATAATTATAATATATTTATAATATATTTTATTAAGAAACTTTCTTAAGGAATTATCATCTACTACTATTCTCTTGAAATAATTATATTTCATTATCGTTAATTGTAAATATAAAATACGAGGAATGGACGTTTACACGAAAGTTAAATTAACCAGTACTATTATTTAAAAACCGGTTTACAGCGTTCAGCGTTGATATTGGTATCTGCAAAAATTAAAAGAATTAAAAATAAAAATTAAAAGCATTAAATTAAAGAAAATTAAAGAAAATTAAAAAATTTAATGTTTTCGCTTTTCTAAAAATTCAAAATAAATACATTTCCTCTACCTGAAAAATATCATCGAAGAAGCCATTATTGTTCCCACTCGGTATCGTCATAATTCTATCCGAAGAATCAGGTTTATCCGAGTAATAAATTGTCTGACGCTTTTGAATATTCGAGTTGTTTTGATCCTCTCCTGTATTCTCCTCTATCACCTTCGTTTTAGACCCCCTCAGCCTTCTCCTCTGAAAGAATCTGCTTCGACGAGGAAGAACATCTGGAAATCACTTAAAAAAGTAGAAACGAGTATACGAAATTACCATTAATTCTTACCAACTTGTACGATTTCGTTCGTCTCTTTGGATAAAACAGGGGCTAATTGAGCGAGAGGCGCCGGCTCGATGGGTAATACTTCACGTATCTGATATAATTGTATTCATGCGTTAATTAAATCCACTATAACCTACGAACCGGTTACGATTTACCTCTTTACTCGACGAAGAATCAGCCTCTTGTTTCGGAGCCTCCATAGATATTTCATTCTTCTACGAGCAAACGTTATTTCAATATTTCTTTTTTTCTTTTTTAATACGATGATACAAATTCAAGATAATTGGACAAACCTTTTTCGAGTTCTTTCCCGAACGGGAGATTATTTGAATATGCGAGGTACCCCTGCTCGGCCCTTTCCCATTACTTCCTTCTCCATCTTTTCCATCGTTTGGCCCATCGTTTGGTCCATTATTAGGTCCATTATTAGGTCCATTACTAGATCCATTACTAGGTCCATTACTAGATCCATTACTAGGTCCATTACTAGGTCCACTATTCGGCCCATTACTGGGTCCGTCACTGGGTCCAGCACCGAACAAATCTCTAGGGATTTCTCCAGCTGTGAATCCGAGTCCATGGGTTCCAGTGGTAGCACCGGCGAACAGGCCTCCCCTAAGAGGTGCTGACCTGCCACTTCCATCCAACAAGCCGCCTAATCCGGCCGCGGCTTCGTGTCTTCCGTTCCCAAGCCCGGCTCTCGCATAAAGCCCTCCCCCTGTTCGTCATAAAATATAAATTAATCTTTATTTCCGTTCTCTGCTTTCTCTAAAAATCAAAATATGATAAACAATACTCGCCAGCATTCGCATTGTCGCCATTGAGTGTGCCGCCCAAACCAGCGGCCGCATGGCCACCCCATGGCGTTCCCACGCTGGCATGGAGACCACCACCTGTATTCGACCCGGTTAGAAGACCACCCAACCCGGCTGCAGCATGGTAGCCCGCGAAATTGAATCGGATTCCACCGTTGGTGAACTGAATCAACGGAAGCTGCGAATATTAATGCGAATCTTTTATTATTATTGATATCGATTAAAATGTCTCGTTGCATAATATTTCTTCGAATTGTTTAAATTTTCGTTAAGGAAGAAACGAAGAAAGAACGACAACATGGAATTTCTCGAAAGATTGAAAAAAGTTTTGAAATGCTAGATAATTTTAATTGGACAAGTTGGATCAGTTTTCAATTCATATTTCAATTATAGACGAATATCATTTATATTGTCAGAAATATAGGTCGAACGTGTGCTGGTTTGGTCACACTTTCCGTGGATTTTTTTCAATTCTAGGATTAAAGGAATTATAATTATATGTTGGATGTGCAAGAAAAGCTCCTCTTTTTGGGATTGAAAATATTTAATTAGATTCTACGTTCTTTTTTTTTTTTATATAAATTTTCTTATATAAATTGTTGCATCTTCGAAATTAATGATGAAGTTACAACGTTGCGAAATTTTGCAAGTTGTCAATGTTGGCCAATAAAATGTTGTTTTTCTAAAAATGTAAAAATTGATAATTTTCATCTTCTGGTCCTTCTTGCAACCAACGGTATAATTTACGATTACATAATGGTTTATTAGTGTTTATTATTGTATACACGTGTTAATGTTAATGTTATTGAAACGACATTGCTTATTTATATATATATAACGATTGATAATAGCGAAAAAATAATAGTACAAAAAAAAAAAAAGATACGCGATTGTAACGTGCAATTGGAATTGAAAATTTACAAATTAGGTTTTTTTTTTACATAATTGTTCATCTGTTTATTTTTTGTTCGTGAAATCGTTTTTCGATAAGGAATTATCATTATAACGATTTCATTAAACTTATACTCGAGGAACATTAATCGCGTTTAACGAAATAATTGGGTAAATAAGTTAAAAGTCATCGTATAATCATTAAGAAACATTATAATGTAACGGCACTTCCGCACTCCTTTCTCGTGGTTGCGTCTGTCCATTACCTAACGGCTGTTCCGTCATCACTTTTTTTCCATTTTCCATTTACTCTTCCCATACCTGTATCATTATATTTTATTTTCAATCCCATTCTTTTTTTTTTCACATCACCAATCACTTATTCCAATATAAAAAGAAAGTTTAGATGTTATTTACTTTAATTAATGTCGCGTTACTTTCGACGAAGTTAGAAAGTTTAAGAAATTCATTCGTCGTATACAAAACAAATGATTTACAATTTCGAGAAGGATCGATTTCACATTTATCGTGAAGAATTGAAGAATTGTCCAAATTTCTTAAATCATCATCATGAAAATATGAAAGAAAGCTTTAAGCTTCCCATCACGAATTTCACGATCATCCAACGAATGAAAACAAATGTGCGCGTTATATTTTTTATTTTAATATTTTCGAAAATAAAAAATACTCACCCTCTCGTTACTCTGACTATCCGCAGGCATCCCGTGTACAAACGCGAGTAAACCAAGCACGAACGCGAGATCAACCTTGTTGCACAGCATCTCTGTTTCTGACTGAGCCGAGCAACCGGTAGACTAACGCATTTACCACCGATTTCTAAAAAGACCTCGAAGACATCTCACCTTCTCTTCGGGAAGGGATAAACTTACTGACGTAGCCGACGAACGAGCCAGTCTCGTGGCAGTCTCTTTGTGCGCGATGAGAATCGATCGTAGATTTATTCGATTGTTCGTCGAATGAACTATGATTGCGGGGGTCAAGGACGATACGACTGATCGGGAACAATAGGCATTCATTTCCTTCTTCGGTCTTTGCAAGCGGAACAGTGTCGAGAGTATTGCACATACCTTTCAGGTGTACGAAATATATTTCTAAAGTAAAAGTATCGTGGTTTTTATTCTTAAAATGATTTTGTCTTCATTTAATCTTCTCTTTAATTGGAAATGATTTTAGGAAAAAGATTATTAAGATGATGACAATCTGAATCGAATACTTAGAAATGTTATGTATCAGAAAAATAAAATATCGCGGTAACGTATTCGCGGCAAAAAGAGTAATATTAATGAAGTAGTGATTAATAAACTTGTTTTAAATGTGGGCACGAATGACGC